TTTTTTCTCATATTCAGACAAAACCTTATTTTTCTTGTAGCCAAATCCTTTCTAGAAGTCATGGCCATGAATGCCTATTCCATATTTGTAGCATTCTTTCACTTGTTTCTAGAAATGGTATGCTAATTTCATCAGCAAATGCCTACAAAGAAAAAGCAAATAAAAAATGATTATATATAAGGAGTGGCCGATTTTACTAGATAAAGAAGTTGTGTGAGAAATCACTTTAAGTATTGGTTTTTTAAAATTGTGATATTTACATTTATTACGTTAATTTATTTCCAACAGCTTGAAAGAATAATAATTTCAGATTCTGATCCTAAAGAATAAAAGGATTGCAATATTAAATTGAATATTTAACTTTATCAAGTAGAAAAAAAGATTTTAAGGTTAAAATACTCATTGAACCCAACAAGTTCATGTGACTATAAGAGGTTGGTCACATACATGAGCCACTAATAAGCACATTAAAAGGAGAAGTGGAAGCAAAATATTGACAAATTTTAAAGGTGATTTGAGTTGATGAGGCTGGAGTTGTTGAAAAGATGATAAGCCTACTCATTTGTTCTCTATTTTTGGCTATACTCCTAATAGATCAAATCACATCATTTACCATCCATGCAAGTATTTTTGGTTGGTTTTAAAAAGTCCCATGAACTCTCGCTAAAATAATTAAGAAATATGCAGCACCTATGAATGTTAATAATGTTAGCAAAAAGCCAAAAACTATGTAATGATGAAAGTACAGTCTTACCGATTTACAACATTTAATAAAACCACTAATGATGCTCCTTGCCTAATGTATTCTCCAATTGAATCTACAACCATTTAGAAAACTCATTTGCATTATAAACTCATGGAAGCATAAAAAGGGAGGGGGACAAATGCATTTGTCTGAAAATTTATGAAGAATAATTAAATAATTCTGCAAATCAAAATAAGAATCGAGAATAAGTGATCAAGCATTTTTCCACAAAATTTACTACTTCACACAAGTAACAAAGGTAATGTTAATGGCATAGTTAGCTATCACAAGACAAGCAAAAACTATTTAACTCAAATGAGTCAACCATACTTGGTAGATTTTTCTTCAACCATTTTCATCACTTTGTCATGTTCCCAGTTTTTACACACATTCTCTATCATTAATTCAAGATCAGGCCTAACAAAAAATTATTCTCACACGGCACATCACAGAAAGAGAACTTTATTATCCCTATTTGCAACTTTAAAATAAGACTAATTGAACATCGAGACTCATTGAATCCTATTACCTTTACACTATATATTACAAGAAGACAAGCCTGGATTATGAATGGACATGCTACAAGAACAAAGTTAAACTAAAAAATAATAATTGAGGCATGTAAAAGGGGGTAAAAAGAGCAAAAGAGGGATGGAAAGAGAACATCAAGTGTTGCCTTAAATTGATCTTTATGATCATTAACGCAGCATGAGGGAAGAGAGGGGAGTACAAAAGCTAGCCCCCAAATTTTTTATCAATTTAATTACACTTGCATTTTTAGAACTAACAACCCTCTAACAAAGACAAAAGTGAGGTGTTGTCATGATCTAGGATTATCTGTCGATGAAAAAAAAAAATGTCACATGAATGTCAAGATGCAAATCCATGACCTTTTTACTAAAAGTTATTAACAATGTTTCTCGAACAACAAAAGAGTAGCACCTATGTACATATTGTTGCATGCAAATTAAAAAAAATCATATATATATATATATATAATATCAATATTTTACTACAGAACCCATATTGAATTCATATCACATCCTAGTACATTTGGATATCTTATCTTCCTGTTTATGCTTATGGACATTTACATGGGTACATTGCTTACTAACAAACTTCAACCCCTCCCTTTATTACTCATTATTTTCATGTAACAAAAACTTTTAAAAGGTAGTCACATCATACATAACAGTACTAAAGGTTGGAACATGGAAGGTGAATACATCTAGGAATGGTATGAAAGGCCAAAAAAAAAATAGACAGAATCAAATATTTTAAAAATAATCGGATGAGGAGTTGCAATGGTAAAATAACAAGTCCCTTGCAAAGGTTATCAAACAATATTTGTATTGTAAAATTTAAAAGCTCGCGAAAAGATGTGATTACTCACTTTGGTAGGATTCGTGAAGAGCTCTGTAACACACCAAATTTTTTTTTTAAATAATTTAACTCAACCATAGTTGGGTTACAGCCACCCAACACATTTTTATATCAATAATTTCGATATAAAATATTTTATAATTGGCTTCAACTCACACACTATAACATTTCAGATAAATTTTTACCTCCCACATGCCATTAGGCTAAATCACATTTGTCCATCTTTATACTCCCAACAAGTAAACTAAATCACATTTGTCCATCCTTATACTCCCAACAAGTAAAATAAGCAATTAATCAATTTTCAACACAAGCCAGTTATTTGACCTTATAATCATGCCATTTTAACCAATCCAAAGTAAACCAAATATTAAAATTACAGTCATCCAAATGTACCAAAAATAGAAATAGTTTGAAAGGCATGATTACATTTATATATTCATATAAATTGACAATAAACATAAAAAAGTTCTAATATTGGCAATATAACACATTATAAATCATAAATTAAATACCCAAAAGAGACAGTGGATCTATACCACTAAGCCTCTGGGACTCCTCTACGTGTCACTCGTGGCTCTTCTCCTGAAAATTGTTAACCACATAATGAGACTCAAAAGTCCCAGTAACCAAAGCCAATTTATGATAGTGTATACAAACAGTTAAGTGTGTGCTTACTAAGTGAGAATTAAAAATAATATAATTCCAACAAATATAAGAAATATTATAATAAACACAAACAACCATCCTTATATCCCTCCATTAACCTCAAGTCGTAGCCCTCACTCGGTGCTAAATTACCCGGCCAAAGGTAGATTAGCCCGAGCCCTTACAAGCCACCTATTGAGCTACAATAGGGGCGTACCACGTGACACATAAATACAACAATAATAGCAAGTCTCCCAACACCTCCCACAATAATTAAACAAATTCATAATAATATTGCACAATTATACAATATTACAAAATTCATAATTTTCTCAATAATCACCCAATTAACAAGAAGTAACACTAATCATAAATTAAAAGCATGGTTACCTTGTGGCTTTTTCAATAAATTATTCCTTAAAATTTCTCTCTCTCCACAATCTTCACCAGTAATACAATCTACAAATAACATATTATTTATAAATATTAGTTTCAATTTTTAAAACTAATAAAATAATTCTAATAATAGAATTAAAAATATAACATAATTCCTAATCTCAATCTTAATACAAATCTATAGTTAATACTATTAAGTAAAATTTTTAACTCCTCTTTTAATTATCAATAAACATTAATAATCTAAAAATCAAATTTTAAACTAATTTCTATTATCAAATTTTTTTTATTTTATAAATTCGTACCTAAAATACCCAAAAATTAAAAATTGAGTCTCTAGCTTAGAATCATAATCCTATAACCATAATAATTCATTTCTCATCCCAAATAATCATCTAAACCTCAATAAATCAACATATATTTTCAGATCTAGTTTAGAATTTGATCCATAAGCCACAGATTCAAAGATCATCAATAAATTTATACTCTAGAACATTTATTATACTACTGACAACCTCAAAAATCATATTTATTCAACATAAATTCATCCCTCTTCCAGATCTTAAATTTTCTACCACTACAAACTCAGAAACTAAATAAGAAGGATGACTAAGAAAAATTTTTAGAACACTTACTTAGTCTTGAAAAGCTTAAAATCACACCCTAAATATCCTATTAAAAACTCTTACCTTAAAATTTAGATATTTCGCACCGGCAACTCGCTTCTCTCCGCCTCAGCTCGCGCGCAGAATGAATGAGGAAATGAAGGAAGGTGAGTTTTTATAAAAATTCAGTGGGTCCCACACATTTTTTTTTATTATTATTCTTCTTCTCTCTCTTCCCCCTTTTTTTTATTATTATTTTATACTTACTATTCATGCGGCGCTGAAAGCAAATTCGTTTTCTCTTCTTCTTCCTTTTTTTTGTTTTGGCATACCTTTTTCCCTTTTTTTTATTATAATAATAATTTAATAATTAATTTTTTTTAATTAATTTTTTTAATAAATTTATTTATTTTTTTTTAAATTTAGAATTATATCCTAAATTAGATTTAATAATCATTTTTACTAATTTTCTTACCTCTAAATATTATTATTTTTTTTAAAAAAAAAATTTCTATTAACCTAAATTAACTATTAAAATTTAAATTGGGATGTTACAAGCTCGGTGTAAGCAGAGCCAGCCATGACCAGAACCACGATAGACACAACCAGCAAGTCTTCAACAATTCATTATGAGGGCCTTTAAGTATGATAAAAAGAACCATCAGAGTGATCACAAATGTCAGAATCCCTTTAGCCATAACACCAGTATGCAAATCAACTTTCAATGATGGTCCTTCAATCATTTAGAGCTTGAGTGAAAATCTCTTGCCGTCACAACTATGCCCAACTTTTCTACCTCATTCGTCTCTGTGGTTCTTCAATTAGGGATCATCTCTCTTATTTAATTTCTATCCATACTATGAAAAACTTTCAATGGTGTTCAAATATTAGTTTTAAAGAAGAGTTCTTTTAGAAAAGAGTTGCATAATTATAACGACACATAGTCGCACATAAAAAGATGAAAGATTCAAGTTGCAACTCACATTATCTGCAAGAAATCGTCTCTGATTTACAATATTCTTCTCGCCCAATAATAAAAGACATTTTGGTCCATTCATCTCATCTTTTTTGAATATTAAAATGAGTCTGGTTCTTCATGATTCTTAAAACCAATTTTGCTTCCAACCATGCCCTTTTCACTGATTTTTCCTATAATTAATTACTTTATCATTATCATTATCATTATCATTATCATTATCATTATTGTTAATGTATTTCTCTCTTTAAAAAAAAAAAAAAAACCAACGCATCGGTGATGAGTCGTGATCTGAACATCGCCAGTCGTTAACTGTGTTTAGATGAGTGGGAAGGCTCTTGTGTACCCTAAAATTGCTGTACTGGGATTACATCGAAGTAATCTAACCATCTTCTTCGTTTCCGTTCCCACTCCTTCACACAGAAGTCCCGCTATCTCTGCCCTTCTTCCGAGGTTTTAGCTTGGGGAGCTGAACGGGGTCTTCGACTTTTACACTGCAGTAACTCTTGCTGCTGCCCCTGCGCTCCGAGACAGCAGAGAATGGCGGAGGAGGCACTAGAAACCGAGACACCTAAGAAGGATACGAAGGCGGATGCTCGTGACATCGAGTCGCAGATTCAGACTGCTATGTGCTCTCGCGTTGCTCACTTCAAGGAACAAGCCGAGTACTTAATTCCCCTCTCTCTCGCTGCTTCTCCGCCTAATTGGCTTCAAATTTGAATCAATTATTCGGAGACTACATGTTTATCTTAACTCGGAAAGTTCTCTATACTGTGTAATCATCTTATCGTCAGAATTTTCCCCACTTCCAAATAATTTTTGCCCCTTCGACGGGAGTCTGTGATTTGGCTCACGCATATAAATATGCAAACGTGACGAAACACCTCATCCTCATGCTGTCATGCACTCTCCACTAGGAGAAAAGTATAATGTTACTCTGCTATCCGTAGTTAGAGTTTCTATGTTAGCATGAATGTTAGCACCTATCAACCTAGCGAACCCAAGAAAACAATGGATACTATCAAAATTCATTGATTGATGTATATCTACAGTACAATAATGATTTAGTGCAATGACCGTAATTTCTCTGCCAAGTGACAACTGATGAATTCTCTATCTGACCTTTTATCGGGATATCTAAAATATTAGTTCTTGCATTTGTCTTTAAATGCAGTTCTCTGACGTTTGAGGGGGTTCGTAGATTGCTTGAGAAAGATCTGGGGTTGGAGCCATATGCATTAGACGTGCATAAGAGATTTGTCAAGCAATGCTTGCTGAAGGTACTTGTTTGCATTAAAAACCTTTTATCCTCACCTAGTGAAACAATGGAAAAGATGTGCTTGGGCCTTCTCATCAGCTTACCACATGATTGCGTAAAAAGGATGCTCATCACCTTTTATTTTGTGCAAATTGAAATAAAATGTTTAGCATGAAATATTGTCATAGGCATGCATAATAAATGAACGAGTGATTTTAAATACATACACAGCTAACATTTTATCTTCTTAACCTTTTAGAAAGTATGCCAAAAGGGGTTCTCTGCAATTTCACAAATTTTAGTTGCATTAGGTGCTGCTGCTATCATTTGTACATATTATGTACATTATAGGGAAGTTGGTGATGATACTGGGGTTAAACTTGAAGCTAACCTTTGTGCATTTTTTTTTTTAAAATCCGAGTTAATTATCTTGGCACTGTCCAATTTGGGCGGTGCAGTAGCAGATTACAAACCGATGTTTTATTTGCTCACTCTTAGGGCTGTGCATTGGTAACCTTGGACTTGAATCCAGAAACTCCAAATGTTGCTACAAAAGTGTATATTGAGGCACATTATACCAACACTATGTTGTGAGACCAAATTAGGCTATGGTGCTTTATGGTGTCATGGTCTCCTCTTTGTAATGGTTAATTCATGCAATACTTACACCCTGCAAAGTTTGATTCCTGAAGCGATAACCTATTTAGCATTAGTTACTTCATTTGTTTGGACCCCTTGCCCATAGAAAATACAATAGCATTTGAGAGATTCCTCCCCTAAATATTAAAGTTCATGGGCACTTGCACTGCATGTTGTTGTTTTAATGCTTGACTATTGCATTAACTTATGGCCATGCTGTGCTTTGCACATATATGATTATCCCAAGTGTATATGACCTTGGCCTTTGTGTCAAAGAGCACATGCATTGTCAATATTAACCCTCAAGTATGGTTGGTTGCAATTGAAGAAATTAAGAGTCAATCGGTAAATGAAGCACTACTTGACTTCTACTTAAATTTCATGACAAGCTATTTTACTCTGTTTAACTGGGCGCTCAACGTGCTAAAGAAGACTCAGGTGGACATAATCAATTATTGTAGAGGACTGTGATGTTGGATTTTTTTTTTTTGGGCTGCTAATTGCTGTTAGTAATAATAGCATTTTGCTTTACAATGTATTATATCTTATTCAATTTTGAAACTTTGATTGTAATAAAGCATGCTTAATTTTGTTCACTAGCCATATATCAATGTTATGTGTCTGTATATTTTTAACCTCTCCTTATTACTGGTAGAGCTTAGAAGGGGTTGGAGATGATAAAGGTCCAAAGATATCTGGGGATACAGGGGAAAAAGGTGCAAGTACACAGGAGAAAGAAGGATCAACTGAAGAAATCCATTCAAAAAAGGATGTAAAGAATCTTTGTCCTGATGATGAAGATAAAATGGAAGATTCTCCAGTATTAGGTCTTCTACATGAAGAAAAATCAGTTAAACTTGAAACTGAGGAAGCTGAAGGCAATGGCAAAAACGCAATTCCAAGTGAGACCATGATTAAGAAAGCCATTAGAAAAAGATCTTCTTATGTTAAAGCCAATTCAGAGTATGCAACTTATTCTTTTCAATATTTATCTTTCTGTTTTTACTCAACAATATTATAGATCTTATTCACCATATATTACACAATTCTCATTGTCCTACTTTTGATTTTATGAATTTTTAAATTGAGTTTGGACATGGGTGCTGTTGGCTTTCTTATTTCAGGAAAGTCACAATGGCTGGTCTTCGTCGACTGTTGGAGGAAGATCTGAAACTTGAGAAATTTTCTCTCGATCCCTATAAGAAACTTATAAGCCAGCAGCTAGAGGAAGTGAGTGATTTGAGTCCAGAAAGTGTGATTCAGGCTAGTACAGTGTGCACTATGAGATTTTTAACTATTTTTTTTTTTTTGGAAGGTGTTAAAATCTTGTCAAGTTTCAAAGCCTACAAACAGTGCCAAGAAAATTGTTAAGAAAAAACCTGACGCCAAAGCAACTAAAAAGGTCAGTAGTGAAGAGAGCTCTGATGCCTCAGATCAGCATGCTGAAGAGGACCAGGAACAGGAAAATGAAATTAAACCTATAAAAAGAAGTATTCCAAAAGGGAAGTTGTGGAACTCCCTTGAACCTAGAAAGCGGAGACGATCCGCAGAGGAGACTGAATTGTCTTCTAAGAAAAGGATCAAGTCAGCTAAAAAAGCCTCAGAGGACAGCAGAGATTCAGAAGATCCTGGAAAAGACTCTGAAGATGATCAGTCCCAATCATCACCAGAGAAAATTACAAAGGTGACACTGATTGTTATATGATGGTTTTAATGAGACAGTTTAGACCATAACCACTTTTTAATGGAATAGTCATATTCAATGAAAATAACTGTTTTTTATAATATAATACACATGATAGCTGTGCTGTTCAGGTTTGCATGAAGCTAGCATTAACTTTCTTTGTTACCTCTCTTCCTACTAGTTGATTGAATAACCTGCGCATATTTTTGATGTGCATGTGGATGTTTGTTTCATGTGCAAGCATATTTACATTTTCCTGTCTTTTCCCCCTCAAATGCAGAAGAAAGAAGTTTCAACCCCTGCGTATGGTAAACAAGTGGAGCACCTAAAATCTGTTATTAAAGCTTGTGGAATGAGGTCAATTGCTATTTTTGCTTCCCTTTTCATGATTCCAGGTCCTTGTTGAGGGTGATAGCTTGACATTGTATACTTTTGTTGCAGTGTTCCGCCTGTTATCTACAGAAGAGTCAAACAGGTTCCTGAAACTAAGCGGGAAGCCCAGCTGATAAAGGAGTTGGAAGAAATACTGTCTAGAGAAGGATTGTCTTCAAATCCATCTGAAAAAGGTTGGCTTTGGTTGTTGAGCTTATTTTTGCTTATGCCTCTGGATGTTAGCTGCGGTATTTACACTGTGTGTGTATAATGAAATATGTATTCTTCAAAACAGAGCTTTTGGAGTTATAGCCACAGTTTTCCACTATGTCCTTTTATCTTTACTCGATATTAGACAATTGGAACCTATTGCAAGTCTAGCTTATTCCTAGTTTTGTTAGTTCTGATAATTTGTAATGTTTTTCCGAGAAACTTGGCTGCAATACTTGATAGGATAATTGGCTTTAAGTTTGCAAGTGTAACTAGTACAACTCATGGAAGTCATCCAACAATTTATTAAACTTCCAAAATTTATCGCATAACCTGCACAGGTTTGACCATGTAATGAATCATGGAAACCCTCCATCCATATACAGGAATATTTTCACAATAAAGCTTTTTCACTTGTTTACATAAAATTTGTTCATGTAAAATCACGGCAAAGAGTATAATGTCTTGAACGACAATTAGTATGATTTAAAACTCATTACCCTACTATTGGTATGGGATCTTTCTTTTACCCTTTTTTTTAACATTTTATTTCAATTTATATATATAAATATTTATAGATTTAAATAAGTAATATATATATATATATATTATGAACACTAAGGCCTGAGATGGGTGGGAATCTTGCTACTGAAATCCTTGCTCTTGTAATACCCATGAGAATCCTCATATCCAAACCTTAGTGGGTAATTTTTTTTTTAAAATTCCATGCCCGCTCTTGGGGAACCTAGGGCATTACTATCATCTACCCAAACTAATTCGAGCCATCATTATATAGGATTTTTATTACCAATGGTAGCCTTATGGGTACTTCAGAGATGCCTGTGTTCATTGGGTATGGGTATTTTGTTCATCCTAAATTTGTATGCCATCTTTATTAACTTAATTCCATTTATAATTTTTATTACTCATCATTAAAATAATAAAATTAAATTGTACAACTTCTTACCCTTTAAAATTGTCAACCATTGTTGAGAAATGAAGTATTTTAGTTTTATTTTGTATATAATCATGTCAAACTACTAAATTTTTTTTTTTGGGGGGGGTTATTTCTTTTAAATCCAATTAGATGATATCATCAGTGTTTATGAGTTTTCTTATGGTGTCAAAGTTTTAGAAATCTAGATGCTGCATAAAGGGTTTTAGACATGACACCCCTACAGTTTGGTGCTGGAACTTCTTGTTCTGAATTTGCTATTAAGGACCCATATCTTTTTTTATTTACGCAGAAATTAAGGAAGTGAAAAGGAAGAAGGAAAGAGCAAAGGAACTTGAGGGTATTGATGTGAGCAATATCGTGTCAAGTTCACGGCGACGATCAACTAGTTTTGCTATTCCTCAGAAGGCCAAAGAACCAGTTGAAACAAAAACCAATGGTGATGATGTTGAGAATGGTGATGATGTTGAGAATAGTGATGATGAAAGCAATGATGACGAAGAGGATGAAGAAGATGAGGAAGAAGAGAACAGTGGTGATGATGATGGAAGTCAGAGTGAGGAGCTTAACGAGGGTATGTCTATCTAACATGCAATAAGGCTATTTTTTATTCTTTTTTATTGGTTATAACAGAAATGATCATAGATTCTGGCATCATGTGATCATTGTGCTTTCTGCACTATTGATAAGTAGCTTCCAGTTAATATTAACTAAATTCTTTGCAAGGGCCGAAGCACCATGAAATCTTGGGTAGCAGAAGCCATCTGATTAAATGATTTCAACGTCAAACTACCTTAGGACATGTCCTGTATTTAGTTCTGTTTTGGTATCTTGATGCTGTCACCAATAATATTCAGGACTTACAGAGTGGGACAAGTTCAAAATTTGAAAATTATCTGGACGAGTAAAGCCTTAATTTTCTAGGACCTTTCTCTGAATTCTAGCCGTGAATGTACATAAAGCGTTGTTGTGTGATGTGTTATTTGGTGTTGAATTGAGGGTTGAGGGCGAGGGTCATTTAAAATTGGGGAGATGTAGGAATTCTTTATTTTTCAATAAAAAGGGTGACCAGAGAGGTTTAAGGGCATCCTGGTTAATGCAATATCCATGTACTGCAATTGGCTGAGTTGGAGTTGGAGAATGGTTTTTTACCTTTCTTGGAGATTGTGTCCTTACATCGTTCTCCGTTCTGCAGATGAAGAGGACAGCGAATAAATCGTGCAATTGCTGACACGTGAAAGGTCGATTGCGGGGTATGAAAGGCGATTTCCCCGCTGCAAGTTAGAGGTGATGGTGTATAATGTAATTAAATACCCCTTTGCTTCCTGTGGAAATGGACGATAGTTGTTTGATGTTGTAGACTAGTGACTTCAGTTGTTCGAGTGGTTGGGAGAGGCGCTCAGTTTCTCCCGTGATCCGTTTGTAGGAACGAACTTATTGACAGTGAGGTTCATTTTTTCTCTCTATTTTTTAGGTAAATTAAGTTGCTGCCTCATCTCGAATACAACTCAAATGTCATTTTGGCCAATAGAAATCACTGCAGGCTATTAAAGATCTATTAATTTTATTTCATATGATCATATGAAAAAAAATCCATTGTAATCCAACTCGATTGAGGGGGGAGGGAGAGAAAGTTGCATTATTCTCAAATTGTAAATAAAGTGATAATTTTTAAGCTTATGCATAATATATGGAGCTCAATATTACTCCTCTGATCTTTTTTACAGTGTAGAGAGAGAAAAAAAATTATTCTGTTTATAAAACACTTGTTAATTTTTAATGTTTCTTTTTTCATTTGTATTCTTATTAAATATTTTGAGTAAAAATATTAGTAATAAAATTTAAAAATATTTATTAAAAGTAAAAGGTAAAAATATTAAATTTTAAAATAAAATTAATGAAATTTAATTTTTTTTATTTCAATAAAATATGTTAAAAGTAATTTATAAATTAGACCAAAAGGAGTATTAAATTACGTCATCACCAAGTGCCATTATTACAAACATGATAAAAAAAAAAATGATTGTGCTAGATATGCATTGTAAAGTAATTAACCAATCAGGGGCGTATGCATCGCAATGGCGCCATCGTTAATTTGAAAGATCGCTGGACATGGATATTCTACCATTGTCCAGAAACAATACAGTACAGACAATGTAGTTCAATACAGGATTGCTCCATTTTGAGGATCCAATTCCACACACAGTGCCCAAAACAACCTTCAACATTCACTTCTGTTCTGAAAGAATACGCCGAACTTCATTTGCAAGATCCATGACGTGCTTGTCTTGGCACCCTAAAAGGAACAAACAATTAGAAGGAAAAAAAAAAACTTCTTTCCTCCCTATGTATAAGGTGTTTTTAACCAAATCCCGCATATCAATAAAAGATTGTTATTTAGTTGAACTCACATAAAAACATAATGATTTTTCAGTTTTACTTCTAACAATATCATAATTAATATCATGATAGTGATAGGAAAATCATATAATTAACAATCTATTCCATTTTCTAAGATAAGGACAAAATTGTCTAACTATTAACAAATATCATTGTTACTCCTTATATTTAGGGATAAAATAAATTTCTAAAAAATACTTTATATATAAAGACAGAGGGAGTAGACAAATAAGATATACATTTATTAGAATGATCAGTATACAATAAATAGACCTCACCTATTTGAAGCAAAGCTTTCTCAAGTTGGAAAAGATAATCTGTGTTAGGTCCTGACGGACCTTCAGCCCGAATTATTTGCCTACACGGATACAATGAGGGTAAAATGAAACATAATGACTGGCAACTAAACCCCAAGTTTCCGCAGCACACGCGGTTCTGTAGCATGAATTACATTATAGAATAGCAAGTAGATAGAAAGTTCAACATCATCCTGTATATTTAGCTTGCTAAATATCATGCATGATAGCAGAAGAAGAGAGGGATGTGTGGAGGTTTTAACTGATCTGAATCTCTACTGATTTGTCATTCATTAAATATAGAGTCATACGTAACGTACACAGGCACAGAGCACCATGTGTTGAACCGACGTTACTTCCAAGAGCTAACAGAATATCATAAAACTCAAACTGCCACATGAATTAAACTCTCTAATTTTGTTCCCAAAAAAAAAAAAAAAAAACTGTCTCTAATATCTTTCCTCAAACTAGGGTAAGCTAAGCAACCTCATTCCTGGACTTGATAGCTCACTACATGCGAATCATCACCATGCAGATTTTCCACAGCTGGCCTGTGAGAAAATCACTAGCCTTTTAAAAATTTACTAGTTTCCAAAAGTGTGCATTTGATATGGGATAGAATACTCGAGTTGAGAATTCAGACTGAAGTAACTAATTTATCATGCTAAGTAGAGATTACTTTACGCTAAAATTCAAGACCAAAAACGCACGGGGCCAAAGATGCAAACCTCGCTATCTCTTCAACAGATGCAGGGCCCAAGTAATTTGTGTTGACGTCCTTGTCTGGAGATGCTATGTATCTGCAATATGCAGACACCGATAATTTTAACGATTGATGACGAGACATGTAAACAATGAAAAGGTTCTGCAGCGTCTCTTCCACTTACACCATCACTCCAGAAATGGCTGGAGTTGTAGCTGTAAGCTCCTGAAACAAATTTTAGCAGATGCTAATTCAAAAAACAAATTAATAGAGCAAAATAAAATAGAACAAGCTTTATCCAATTAGATGAAGTTGATTATATGGATTGCACAAGGCTATTATGTTCCATCAACAACAAACTCTTTAGATATATCATTAATCATTGAGATTCTAGAAGAAACATAGCATATATTACTCACAGCGAAAACATCAAGGTAGACCTTCTTGTCGTACTGCTTCTCCCTCGCCTCAAGATACTGTATAATAATTACATTAAAATATATCAATCAATAATATACCGAAACTGAATATGCGGCCTCTCACCAGCATTGAGTCATTTGCAACAATTCATCCCTGCTAGGTGAGCACAATGCAGTTTCTATAGGAAAAAGCCGTTTTGTTACAATTTCTGTAAGCTTGCAATTATTATACCCTCAAATTACAAGATTCTATGGGCCTTGAGAGGGGAGAATGCCTTCGTCTGCTGGTTTAGATTGACGGATGAAAATTTCAAGTTTACAGAGTTATCATAACCATCAGGACTTCACTGTTCAGTATTGCCTTTCTTTCACAGTTATGCATCTGACAAATTAATCGCGGTGACAATTAATTACTAGAGCACCATCATGAGGAGGGTATAGTAAGCCACAATAGCAGAAAGTGTATTAAAAAAGCCATTGCTCTGAAGATTTACTAGACAATAAGTCTAGCCAAAATATCAAAAAACAAACTCACGGGATAAGAGCAAACAAAAAGGGGGGTTTCGAATAGCGTGAAGTTGCATATTAGGATCATGATGCCTAGTGATTCCCCATTGTCCGTCCGATCAAGGTTGACTTAAGCTTAAGCCTCTCATGGCTGCCCGTAGCAAACCTCCTATTAATGCATCCAGTTTCGTTTATTGGGTCACAGTGGCAGTTCCCGCATCACCGCTTAATGCTTTTCAAAAATCTTCCAGGCTCCTGTCTAGTTTCTTGGGTAACCAAGCCATATAAGTCAACTAAAAGACTTGAACCAAATAACACTATCTTCCTTCTCTTTGATTTATATAAAGGGTATGTTAAAAAAAGAGTCTTCTGTAAGGACTTCAAAGCTTCTTAGTACTAATCTTACTAAACCACAGCACCAATATTATGCTTAGAAAAGCATCAGGCTCTGACTTGGTAAATGTGATCTTCTACCCCTCCATATTATGGCTGATTTATATCTCAATTGAATCTCATCATCGCGTGGTAACAGCACAACAATTGAATAGACTCTTGGTATATGTGACAGTTAAATTCACGCTCACAGTCAGTAACATGAGAACAAAAATATCAATTTGCAGTTAAAGTCAAAAGGCATGTTCTTACTAGTGCCAATTCCTTACTTGAGAGAGTAAGCATTGGTCATAAGTGGGGAAAAACCTAACTTATCCATATATAAGCTCAAGCTTTAGCAACAGCAAAAGGATTTGCATGTTAAAAAGCCTACCGTAAATGCAATTTCTTGATCTTCCTTCTTATAGATCTTGTAAGCAACTCCCCACTATCTCCTTGCAAAATCAAGGAAGTACTATTTCACAATTCATATAATGGAAAAAGTGCATTCAATAATTTCAATTCATGACACAACTTCGATCTTTTTTTATACAAAAGCATTTACATAACATCAAGGAGAGGAATGAAAATATTACCACACAAGGTCACAGTAACTTATGTTAATGAGCATCCTGAATCCCAAATTATTGAGTGAATAGCACCCTGAACCTTGAACTTCTAAAATGTGCAAAAGCTCCCCTCAACTTCTAAATGCAAAGCACTTAAAACCTTGCCATTAAATTAGAGAAAATAGCCATTACTTTTCCAATTGTGGAGCCTGTTTGCACGCTAATGTGGCACTCATCTTGACCATTAAAAATAATAGTCACTTTTTTCAACTTAACAACAGGGTTTCAAGCACTCAGAATTTAGAAGTTGAGGAGAGTTTAGAGTTTAAAATACTCATTAATCCTAGTAACTAACCAAACAAAAAGTATTGATCCGAACAATATAAAAATTTTAATTCTTGTTTCACCACCAACCGCCAATTAAAATAATTTTATTCTTTTTGAAGACTCAACTTCATCATGTAGGTACTTAATTACAGTGATTAGAAGTACAGAAACTGATTAGACCATACTTCTTGATTTAGGCGCTTGACACTCGGGACATGGGAAGCATTACACACACACACCCCCCTATAGCAAAGGAGGAAAAAAAAAAAGGGAAAGGAAAGAAAATGAAAATGGGCCCTTGACGCTTGTCACCTTTTTTTAAAAAAATTAAATTCTCAAACAAGGATAAATTATATCAGCAACAGTTACGGCCATGTCCAACGACCTAACCTGACAAACAAACTGACCAAAGAAGTAGTTCAATTAGAATAACATTGAGAATGCGACAAGGCAGAGAGCTTCTCCCGCTCCATTTTAATGACAAGATTTAAAATTTCACAGAACTGACTTACAATGGTTAACATTGAACTCATAGCATGGAAGATTTCATAATATGAAAACATAAACGTAAGACTTATGAAACACATGCATTCTTTGGGCCAGAAGGCAATGAATTAATGTCCTGCTTTTTTTTTTCCCCCTCCCTGAGCCATGAAATTCCGTATATTGAATTGATAGATCGACCAGTTTAATGAGTAAAGGAAAAAAGTGAACATGGTTATCATTATGCAGCTTAAGACTTACACATACTTCTCCTTCAGCAGGTTCGAGAGTTACTGTTCTTCCAGGGTATTCAGGGGTCCCCCTATGATCAGTACTGCCTGGAAAGGAAGACCCACCAAAGCAAATCATTGATGTTGTCTTTTGTCCAATGAAGAGTTGGATTAAACACACAGAGAGAAAGGGGAGGAGTAAGAAAAAGAGATAGGGATGCAACGAGAAAGACCTTGATGGAAGACACGCCGATAGCCTCTGATGAAACACACGACGCTTTCATCAAATGGAAAGCCAGCTTTCCAAATCAGAGAACCATACCCAAATACCCACATCACCATACTCTGGCTTTAGAGTTTTGACTATTGACCCACTTTAATTTCTCCAAGCCGCTTTATCGATAGGCGTAGCAACACATTACTGAATCGCTTGTCCGTCAGTTGGATTGGAAGGGAAGGAAGATTGGATTAGCCAGTCAGAGGAGGGCAGCAGTCGCGCAGCGGTAAGAACAGTGAACTGAAAGTCCAAAACGGGACGGATTGATGAGCACCGTGGTAGCTCAGCACCAAAACACTGCGTTTTACAGTGTTGTTATTTTTTTTAAAAAAATCACAAAATTATTATTATAATAATAAATAAGTATTATAAAATTATTATTTTAATATTTAATAAATAAATAAATTTAATTTATTAAAATTTGACTTCAACAGCTAAAATTTGATTTAAATAATTTAAAATTGTAGTTAAAAAATTTAAAACTATAATTAAAAATATTTTTTATTTTATTTGATTTTACACAGTTATCCATCTATGAGAAACTTTATCATTTAAGGTATGATCAGATATTAAATATAAGTATTTTTTTAACAAATATTTAAACATCATTTTGTTATATTGTAAAAAAATAATTCATTTTGTTAAACTTAACTTTTGTTTTAACCTCTTCAATTCATTTTTTTATAATTTTTTTAATACAATTTTAAATTATTTAGGCCAAAATTTTTATATGAACCATTCAGGTTAAATTTTAACAAATTAAATTAATTATTTATTAAATAGTAAAATAATAATTTTATAATATTTATTTATTATCATAATAATAATTTTGTAATTTAAAAAAATAAAGAAAAACAAAAGAAACTGCAAAATACAGTGTTTGGTGCCGAGCACGACGGTGCTTACTCTAAGAGGAGCACAGAAAGGGGGCGCACTGATCATCGGGAAGTGGGAACTTTGTTTTTATTTTTTAATTTAATAAACGAGAATTTATTCACTGAAGTGGCTTCTGGCTACTCTGCTAAAATTTAAGAAGGGTAGTCAAATTATTACTATTATCTTTAAAAAAATTAATTTATTTTTATTGAATATATTATTTTTTAAAAAAATTTATAATTTTTATTCTTTATTTAATTGTAAAATGATAAAGTCAGAATGAAATAACTAATAATTTTTTTTAATGCAATGTCACTTATAAAAAGAATCATGAATTTTTTCAAAAAATAAGTTATATATAAGATTAAAGGAATATTTAACAATATCTCAATTATGATTAAATTATGCCTACAAAAATCTAAAATTTGAGACAAGTTACGTTGCTTATATATATATATATATATATATAGTTATTTTGCAGTAAAAAGATCAACATAATACTTTCTCTGTTTAAAAATATAAGGTATTTTTAATTAAACTTGACCCTCAATAAAATAGTTATCTACTTTCTAACTAATCCTATCTTTTTATATTTATCCCTATTAAATATCTTATAGTAAATATAAAATCATTTATCAATAGAGGCATTAAAAAAAAAGGCATTGATTACACCTCAAAAGATTAAAAATACCTTATATTTTTTAATATTCAACTCTTAAAAAAATATTTTATATTTTTAAATGGAGGGAATAAATAATAATCTCACAGTAACTTTTTTATGAAAGACACACTTTAGTTTGGAGAGAATCAGAGGTAAAACATTTAGAATTCTAAATTAAATTTAAATAGTATATTTAAATAGCATGAAGTCTATGTGATTCATATAGGTTTAACAAGCAAACAAGACTTTGAATTTCTGTTCTAAAATCGTCTTGAATTCTAAACTTTTAGAATATACAAAATAAATCTTAAATTTTTAAATCTACAGCAAATAAACCCTGACTGTTAACTTTTCTAATATTGTTGCTTTCCACGCGGGTGCTGTTTAAGGTTTATTTTCTTATGAATTTAACTTTGACTATTACAATACTTGTGTAGACAGTAACAGTATTAAAAAAATTAATGGTCAGGTTTATTTTGCTATAAATTTAAAAATTTAAAATTTATTTTATATATATTTTAAGAGTTCAAAATTTAAAATAATTTTTGAACAATAATTCAGAACCATATTATTCATTAATCCATTCATATACACTGGTAATTACGGAGATAAAGTATACCGTTGTATTTTAATTTACCGGCAGGTGCCAGCATCCACCAAACCCACTTAGTAGCTTTGCCGTCTGCTCTCCATCTTGCGCACGCACACATTTAGAAAAATATCATTCAAAGTCTATAGAAGTAATTTGATATTAAATAAGAATAAAAAAATACTAAAATATCTTTGTAGAATGGGAAAGTGATAATAAATCCCTCTAAATGACAAGTTAGTTCCTTAAAATGTAATAATTTTACTAAAGTTTTATGGAGTTTTCTATCATTAATAAATTTATATAAATGACTAAATTATCCTTGTAACAACATTAAGAATTCGACATGTAAAGTTGTGATCTATTATTGCATCGTTGCAAATATAATAAACAAAATTGTGATTATTTAAATAAAATTTGTGATCATTACTTATTATTTTTAATATTTATAGCAATATCAAGAATTTGATATGCAAACTTGTAATTTATTGTTATATTATTGTGAATATAATAAAAAAATTTGTGATTTTTTAAACAAAATTTGTGATCATTTTATCTTAAATAAGGGTAATTTAGTCATTTATCTAAATTCATCAATGACAGAAAAGTCTTTGAGGATTTTAGTAAAATTATGACATTTTAAAAAATTAAATTATTATTTATATAATCTAAAAGAATCAATCTTATTGTCATTTTCCCTTGTGTAATTAGATAAGAAAAAACTATAATGTCCCTAATTTTCTTTTTCTTAAAAAAAACTTATCAACTTGCAAATAATTTTTTTAAAAATATAAATGAGTACTTGTTAGTTAATAAATGTCACCTTGCTAAAACATGATTTGCACTTCTCCTTTTCACAACTAAATTCTTTTAAATTTTTAAATTTGTCAGTTATTAAATGGTTCATTATTAAATACAGATAGGTACTTATTAATTAATTAATGACTTCTTGTTGAAATATGGTATATACTTATCTCTTCCTATAACCAAGTTCTTTCAAATTACATAATTTATCAATTAGCGAATGATTTTTTGTTAAATGCAAATAGGTACTTGTTAATCAATAAATGGTAACTTGTTAAAACATGATATACAATTATCCCTTCCCATGACCAAATTTTTTTCATTTTAGAACTCATCAATTAGTAAATGACTTCTTATTAAATACAAATGGGTATTTTTTAATTTACAAATGACTACCTATCAATTAAAAAAAGAAAGGCAAGGAGTATTATAGTTTTTTCTTATTTAAAATTATTTTTAAATCAATCCTTCCTATGGTGATATTTTAAAATTATTTTTTCTTTAATTGATATTAAATGACATCAGTGGTTGTTGAATGATATTTTCACTACATATAAAATATAAATTAGTTTTAACCATGTTAACAGAATTAATTGGAGGTAGTAAAATTATTGTTGTTTAAGAAATATTTTTTAATTTACTTTTATTGAATACATGATATTTTAAAAATATTTTCACTCCCATACATGTAATCTTGTACTGTTCTACCCATGAAAAATGGTAAAGGATATAATTAAAAGAAAATAATTAATAATTCATATTTTTATATAAAATGAGTTATGAAAACGGTAATCAATCCTAACTTATATATAAGATCGAAAGGTGTATTTACTACCAAGGTTGAAAAATTAATATTAACATCCTATACATAGGAGAAATATTGAAAAAGAAAGTGCAAAGAAATTTGTGTGGAAATCTAATGGAACTTGCGAAGAAACATCAAAAGAATAAAAGATTTGCATGGGATGATCTAAAACTATAATTATGAATTTTATAAATATTTAAAAAATTTTAAAATCTATATGTAGATCTGTTCTTTTTAAAACCTGGCGCACTTTGTGTATAAATTGAAACATTATGTAAGATTATTGTTACCCCAAAATTAGTGACAAGCACAAGGAAGTGGTTGAAAATAATAGGAGATATTAAAGTGATTGTCAAATGTGTCAAATTAAACGTTGCTTTTGAAGGAGCAATTGCCGCCAGAAATTAAAAGTCTCCGTCGTCCATATCTCCATATCTCTTGCTTTTGACGTTATAGCTATACAGCAAAGAGATCGAATTTTAGATGACCCTCATCTCAACTCTTCCGCCTCGTTATCAATCAGTACCGCTCACAAACTTTTGAAGTGCGTGCAACGAACATCAAAAATGAAAACCACACAATCGTAGTGGATCAATGTTTTTGAGAAAGGTGACTTTAAAGCAATTATTGGTTTATTCTAGCACGAAACGCAGCATAAAGTTAAATTTATGTTGGTACGTACTTGGTTCACTTTTTGTAACATACGAGGCCCTCAAGCAAGGGCGCTGTTCTCTGTAACCCCCTAAAAAACAAAAAATCAAAGCTCCCATGGTCACACGTAATTACATATATATCCTCGATGATAAGTGATGCACATACGCTTGTTCCTAGAAGATTTAATTTCACTGCTTCTTTCCCGTAATATTTTATAAAAAGACAATATTTATATACTTAATTTTATATGTTCAATATATTTTTATCCAATAAATTTTAATGTGTTGATAATATTAATAACAAGAGTTTATTATATAATAAAAAATTTATAAATAATGAATATGTCTTAATTTAATTAAAATAAATATTTTAAATACACAAGCTTTGTCTTTATGGAAAGATAAGGTTTTATCACCGGAAAAGGAGTCTGGTCCTTCAATTAATGGTCAAAAAGAGGGATGTCTTTACAAATACAAAAAAGAAAAGAAAGGCTCTCCTTCGTCCCATTCGTTTATCGCTGGGGCACGCATGCTTTAGTTGTGCAATAATGAACTAATAATGCAGGCTCTCACAGCAGCTAATTGTGATCGAGTCCCCAAAAGACAAAAGTCATCGACGCCGCACCAAATTTCATCCTGCATATAAAATCAAGAATAAAAATAAAAGTGAGACTTGAAAAATCATCCATTTAAATTTATTTTTATAAAAATTTAAATTTTTAAAAATAATATTTTTTTAAAAATAAAGTTTTTAAGCCTAACTTTGATAAATTTTAAAAAAGGAAGCTCAAGTGGTCCTTTTAGGCCCATTTTTATTTTTTTCTTAAAAATATAATATTTTTAATTTTTAAATTAAATTTAAACATTCAAATATATATTTATTTAAAATTAAGAATTTATATTATTTATTTTTAATTTTTAAATATTATAATTTTTATTTTAAAAAATATATGAAATATTATAATTAAAAAAATTAATTTTTAAAAAATTTAAAAAATGAAAAAATAATAAAGGCTTACAGGCTGAGCTTTGAACCTTTTATATAAGGGTTGAGCTTTAAAAAATAAGATATTTAAAAAAATCAAGCTTAATATCCCAAGCCCTTAAAATTTGGGTTTATATAAATCAGGCCTGCCCGTTTCTCAATTCTACCTGCTTATACTCCCTTTGTTTTTATATATAAAGAAAAAAAATTGTATTATACAGTTTAAAAAAATTAGTTAACTATAATGACTATATTTAAAAATAAAATAATTAGACTAACATACTCTATATTAATCAATATAAGCATATATTAATTATTTTTTATTAATATAAATTATGAGAGTTAATTTAAAAATATATAATAAATATTAATTGAAATAAATAATTTTATTTATATAAAAAATAAATAAAAAGTAATAGTATCTCTCCCAGTTAAAAATGAGAGGAGTATATCATCCAAGTACGTCCAAATCCATTTAAAAGCATTGCGCATTACCATCACTCTAAAGCAATTAATGCGAGTAAATGTGGGATCCAATTATTCAATTATAACAACAGCAAATTGTGGTTTGTACTCATCTCCAGCCACGCAATTGGATCACTTTTTCATTTTGTGTATGTGTTGTAAATGTCACGAGCATTTATAGCGACAGTTATATATATATATATATATATATGTGAGACGGTTACGTAAAAGATACAAACTTGTAACCTATTTTAATGGAATAATTCGCGGGTTCTTATATTTTCTGATTTAAGGTGCGGTTCAACGAAGGGCGAGGCAAGAAAAACTAATTGCGAGGCAATATGTAGGCGTCAAGTCAGATTTGATAGATGGACCTTCAAGGCCACATGACAGAGAGGAAGTTCTTCGGCCTTTGCTATTAGTAGTCAAAACAAGAAGACGACTAGGGAACTGGGTCGATGGAGGGACGGTGAGTTCTGAAATGAATTGTATGGAAGTCACTTGTCATGATCGATGAGTCGTGGCGTGAGACGACCGAATTTGAAATAGGAAATTAAAGTGAAAGTAATTTGACAAAGAAATAAAGTTGAATTGAAATTAAACTCGCACTTAAAAAAGAACCAAAAAAAAAAAAGTGGCCCAACAAAAAAACAGCTTCCATTTGGCTACGTGGGAAAGCCAGAAAAAAATCAGAAAGGTTTTCTTCCCTCATGAAACTTAAAATGTGTTAGTGAGTGATATTTGTTATGGCTTCCTCTCTACTTGCCGACCCCATTTTAGCTGCTCGAGTGAAACTTGCTTGCATGTTGGGAATTTTGTTTGAAGATCAATTTAAGGTTATACGTGTGCGTATGTATGTTGGTAGCACATCTTCGTTAACAGCGGACCACGTTCCAGCATAATTATGAATACGCATCACGAGACATGCTTGGTGTCACGCACAGCTTGAGATGGGAGTTCAATCTGACACCACACCGATAATCTATAATCTATACTTCTCATACTCTTACGTAGCAAATAAAACCAATCGCACGTGAAGAAGCGAGGAAACCTTTTACTTTTAAGGAAACTTAAGGTCTGCTTGTTTTCTGTTTTTTATTTTTTATATTTTTAAAAACAAAAAAAATTGAAAATTTGTTTGACTAAATGTTTGTTATTTAGTTGTTTTTAAAACTTTAAAAACAACACATAGAAACAACTTTAAATTATTTTTCTTATTTTTGATTATTAAAAATTATAATTACTTTGATAAATTTATATTATTAATCATCACCGTTAACTACCTATAACTACCACTATCAATTTATTTTTAAATCGATATAACCAAAAATATTTTTATTTTATTTTATTTTAAAAATAATTTTAAAACTGTTTTACAAAACAATTTTTAAAAATAAAAAATAAGAATAGAAACCAAACGGGCCGTTTAGTTCTGCTTTCTATACCCAATGAAAAAAATAACGTAGGGTCCGTTTGGTTTTTGCTATCATTTTTTATTTTTAAAAACTATTTTGTAACATAGTTTTTAAAATTATTTTTTAAAAAATAAAATAAAAATTTATTTAGTTATGTAAATTAAAAAATAATTTTCGAATTTAAAAATGGACTGATAGTAATAATTATATGTTGTTAATGGTGATAATTAATAATAAAAATTAGTTAAGGTAACTATAATTTTTAATAATTAAATGCAATGTATTTTAAAAATAAGAAAAATAAAACGAAAATAAGTTAAAATTATTTTCGTTTTTTTAAATGAAAACAATTTTAAAAACAAATAAATAAAAAATAATTATTCAAATAAATTTTAAAATTTTTCTATTTTTAAAAATGAAAAAAACAATTTTTAAAAACAGATAACAAACGTATCCACCTGGTCCTCACCAAAAGCAGAAAGGACATCGTGAGAGAAATTTAGTTTAGACCAAATGAGAAATCCAGAGCTTGCAATGTACTTGGTGCCGTTGAAAAGGTGTATGGATAGAGACAAGCATTCAGCCAAAAAAAAAAAAAACAAGAAAGAAAAGAAAACAGGGAGACAAGCAATAGCGACGGCAAGTACAAGTTGCTGAAATTGAAGAACAAGGTGAAAGACATCTATATTACAGAGCCAGTCGTTAACGCGCAACTTAGCTCGGGGTCCAAGTTTTTGGTCGATTTATACAGTGGTTGAATGCAAAAATCATGATGACCTATAGATATGTAGCTGGGCTGTTCCATGATTAATTATTGATGATAGCTACAGTCTGCAGCCTACAGCTCTAAAATGAATTAAGGTCGAAAATGGAAAGTCCAAGGGTGACGATGCCACACCAAACTGTGAGTGTAAAGACAAGGGTGTTCTTTGGCTATAATGGAATTGCTGACACAGGCACCACACGCTGGGGCTTATGATGTATGGATAATAATTACGCATTATATCTAAAATATTAATTAAAATAAATGATGATCAAGCCAGGAATTAGTTGATTCGAAGAAGATAGCAAGGGAAGGTGGCAGATGGGACGAGCATGGGCCTATGAGCTACACGAAGTCCAAATTAAAGCAGCGTGCATATCTCGCCAACTTAGCATGATCAGAAGAACATCCTAACAGTAACAAGCACAGAATATCAGCACACATAACGTACGGATACATGACACCAACGCACACACCAATATGAAACCAACCAGGTACGTTGGAAAGTGACGCCCACCGCAATCAGGAGTCATCACGAATAATACAGAGATAAAAGTAAAACCCACTTGTGTTGTGCGCTCATTCAACTTGTTTAAAGCTAAACCATATCCTAAAGCGTGAGACTCAACCTACTAGACGCGAACCCTCGGGGCTTTGCTCATACATTTATCAATCAATTTATATAATATTTACTATCGGAACCCCACCCTACTATACCCCCATCAGGCGTTGTTTAGCTTTGGGGTTGTTTGTGGGAGAAGTAGGTTGCAGGGAATAGGAATCCGAATCCGAATCCGATTCTCTTCATCTGCCGCGTCGTTTGGATTGATTGGGGTCGATCCATAATTAATGGAAAATGCATGCTGACTCATTGTTAAATCTTTGAATATTAGTTTGGCATGTTAAAGCATCCATCAATTACTCTATTATAAATTCTGAATGCTCTGTTTATTTATTTTAATAATAAGTGGATTCCTTGATTAAGCTTAACCTTAAATTATGGAGCTAATTAAGTAACGAAAGACGAAAAACAAAAGGAGAAAGAGCGTCACTGGTTAAGATGAAAGACAGAAGCAGAGACACGCAAAAGCTAGCAATATGAGCACGTTATTTCATATTAAAATTCCAGAAAGGTGTAGACGAAAGAGCAGTCAATGCCTTGGGAGAGATTTGTACGGCTACAAATCTTTCTTGACGTCTCTCTGGGTAGGAAAATTTATAAAGGTTAGTCTCAAAGAAGGTTCATGATCTTGGCGTTGGTGCTTGTGGTGGGACATTACTGTTCTTCCCCGGCCCCTTTGACTTCTCAGCAGGAACACTGACCTCAATCTTGTCAAAAATGCCTGATCCTGACCTCGTGTCGTCTTTTATTGGCAATTCGTGACCCTCCCCTTTCACTGTGTCGTCACTCGTGCTTTTAACGTCTTTGCTTTTTCCCCACACCACAGAATAAAGTCCGAACACGATGAGTATAGCTCCAATTATGCTGAAAAGCGTTAACACATATTTGAGAAACGAAGCAAATATGTAATACAAGGAATATCAAATTGATCAGGGTAAAGAAGAATTATGCACCTTCCCACGTGGACTTGCTCGGCTAGCACGAAAGAACCCAACGCTGCGGTGATAATCATAATTAGTGGGCTGAAAGAAGTTAAAAAGACTGGTCCACGTTCCCTGGTCACAACCCCTTGTACATAGTAAGCCATTCCAGAGCACACCACCCCCTAATTGCCACAGAATAATAGTCAGTTCATTATACTAGTTAAAACCATGCGCCGAGATGAAATCCATGCAGTGGCGAAGTTGAAAGGGAAGAGTTTGTGGTACTTACAGAATAAACACAAGCAAGAAGCCTAGAGTCCCAGCCTATGACCCATACGCTCAGGTCCCTTTCCATTATAAAGGTTGCGATGGAACCCTCCACAATTCCCGTCACGCAAATCCAAGCCGTGAGCGAGAGCTCTGCCGGGTATATCTTCAGAGTGAATGACTATAACCACAAAAGTAGAACGCGTTAATCGAAATCACTTCAAAAATAAATCAAAAAGAAAAAAACATGTTTGGGCGTGTAGATTATTAATTACCTGCAAAATGAAGAAGCCAGCCCAGCCGCAGCAACTTCCAATGAGGTAAACGGTGCCGACAACCCAGTGCTGGTCAGAGGGTTCGGTGGAAGCAGAATCGTGATGGCTTATACCACTTGACTTTATTATCTGAAAGGCCGCGCCTTTGTACAACGTCATCACCATGGCACCTGACACTGTGATTGCAGTTCCTATTATCTTGGCCCAGCTGGGTAATTTTCTCAGGTTCACGCTCTCTAACCTGGTTGACGTCATTCATTCACCAGAATAAGAATAAATCCTACCCAAAATACTATGAAGAGGAATCTGATTAGATATGCATGTCTATGTTTGTGTGGTTACATTGCGTCAAGCTTTAATATTTAATTGCTTTTTTAGTGAGGACGTTTTGTCAACTAGTGGCCCCATGGCGTGCAGTGTGTGGTGTGGCTTCCAAATTAATTGTTGGATTCTAAGAAGGAATGCAACTAGGCTTTTTCAACTGCGTAAGCGCATACGCTGCCAATTATGCGGCAATCATTGAGGCTTTTACCTGAAAACTAGTGCCATCAGAAAAGTAATAGCTGGGAGGACATTAACGATGGCAGATGCAAAAGTTGTTGAGGTGGCCTTCATCCCCATGTTGTACAGGTTCTGATCCAGCACCGGCCTGATCATTTTCATATTTACAATTAGACCCTATTAAACCTCTCTGGAAGATAACATGTAACTTTTGGTGCAATATGGAGGATAAAATCAACAGGTGCCGCATATATATTATGATCTACAAAAGTACATCTATACATTCCTACTATATATGGCTATCTAGCTAGATGCCAAGCTCGTTGTTTCATGAAATGAAAGTGAAATAAGCGAGCCCCTGCTATCTTTTCTAGCTTATCAATATACGTACTCTCTGCTTAGCTTATAGGCCAGAATGTTTGTTCACCAGATGGCAATTCCAGGGACATCGAATTGACCCTGTACTTTCCATACTATATATGCTACCAAGCACCAACATGCCTTGTTATTGATAACCTTTCCTTGAATGGATTTAAGTATTATCGGGGTAGATGCGAGGGGAATGAAACTTCAATTCATTTGTACCCTGAATAGCTCAGTAAGCATGGCGTATCCAGGGACCAATATATGAAGCACTATCGTGTAACTTCATTTTACAAAGATCGTGTATTGTGAAGAGTATTCTTTAATATTATATTATTGTGATGGTGGTCAAGACAGAGCAGTAACAATTTCCCTGAGAACCAAAGAAAAATTTAGCAGTGAAGCGTCTCACCGTCGTTTAGTTACAAACTTTGTTCAGAAACAAGCAAGAGAGAATTTATATGTCATCATTCTAGAGTGCTTCAAAAGAGATTGATGTGAAGAATTAATTCGACGGATGTAGTGCATGCTTGTATGCGCAAGTTTTACTTTCAAGATTATCGCAGGGCCCGTGAAGAGAGTGAGTGAAAAGCAAGGAACAAAATGTAGATATGATAAAGTCGCTAGTGCTCGCAAATAAGTTGATTTGATTAAAGGGTTTGAAAGGGAAACATACTCAAGGAAACCAAGCGCCAGCATCCTGAGGAAGATCGGGAGGGTCATCTTAGGCCTTATTTTTCTGCGAAGAAGATCAAAAAGTCACCCTCGTTATCGTGATGCACGCAGAAAGGCGGAAAAACAAGAAAGAAAAGCTGCTTTAATAGGTGCGCGCGCGCGCTCATACTAGCTAGTGGAGAAGAAGGGGAGACAGGGAGATGAAAGAAGACCTTTCAAGGACAAGAGCAAAAGGAGCAATGATAAGGAGGGCGACAACATGACGGTACACGGAGAGAACCCAGTGGCTCATGCCATGCTTGAAAGAAACCATGGTGATGATATACATTCCCGAGTACCCAAATTGAAGAGAGATGATAGCCAAGTATGGCTTCACCTTGCGCATCACCTCGCTCATCGCCATCTCCTAATCAGTTCTCGCTCTCTCGCTCTCTCTGTAAGTCACGAGCACCAACACTCGAGCTCTCCCACAGGAGGAGTTCTGGTTTATGACTTACGATGGAGTTTGTGGGTGACAAACTCGCAAGGCCGAATGTCCCTCTTATAGGCCCAAAAAAGCAAAAATACTGAACCCTGTTTTACACTACACCTCCACGATTGTCTAATTAAGCCACTTGCTCTCTCACCTCATTAGTTTCACCCCTGCAAATTCTCTTATATCCGTTCACAAATATATATATATATATATATATATAAAGCAAGAATAAATTTAAATTCTGTTTATTGACACTTCACTATTAGAATCCTATCGTAGTATCGTCCTGCTGAGGGCATGTTGTTGATAATTAATTGTATTTATACATGAAAATAAACTGAGATGTTTGTTGTTATTTTCCATTTTCTTGGAATAATGTGTGTCTCTTAATAATAATTGTGTGCTGTTCCCGTTCAATTTGTTTTATGAGAAGTGGGGGAGTGTTTGATTCATTGACCACCAAATGGGAAATGGGTTTAGTGCTCTGGATGGTGATGCAAGTAAAGAAAGGTGATGTTAGAGTTGGGAAAAAAAGCCTGGCTTAAAGGATCATATTTAGAGGTCCTGTTTAAATAAGGGCTCAGACTTTAAAAATAAATTTTTTTAAAGTAATCGGGCTTAGCCCTAATAAGCCTTGTAAAAAAAGGCTAGGTCCCTAACGACCCTTTAAGCTCTGTTATATTATTATTATTATTTTCTTTGATAAAACACGTGTTTGAAATCAATAATTTGCTCACCTAATCCTACACGCATTATATTATTATTAATTTTAATTTATTTTAAAATTAATTTAATACAATTTAATAAATATCAATGTATAGTATAAAATTTTTGATATTTTTTGTTTTTCTATAATTATTATGTTTATGTGTTTATAAAAAATGAACTATTTTTCAACCAACATTTAAATTTTATTACTAAACTTCTAAATATGTGTTGTTTAATTTTTAAAAAATTATAAAAATTTTAATTTTTTTTATTTTAAAATATTTTAATTAATTTATAATGTTTAATCTTATCTTAATTTTTTATTTTTTAAAAAAGGTTTGCGGGCCTGGCTCTAAGTCTTTCACATAAAGGTCGGACCTGAAAAATAAAGTTCAAAATGAAAAATCAAGCTTTACGACTTAAGTCTTTAAAGGTCAAGTTTGCCCGTATTTTTAACTTTAAATGATGTCTCATTGGGGTGTTAAATAAGAGTGGTTGCTCTGTGGACACCATTTGATAAAGAGGGATAAGTGAATCCGAGATGAATGATTACTCCTTAATTGAGGCCTTTCAATTCTTCCCTCCCTCTGGCCTTTTTAACTCCTCAATGGATGTGTACACCATGTACATGTACATATGTGTGTGTACACGTATGTATACGTATGTATATATAAAACATACTGCCATATTATAGAAAAGGAAAAAGGCAGTCTTAGAATGGGGCAAACTGATAAAGTCAACTAGTTGTGGGAGCTTTAGTTCTCTGTTGTGCGTGGTAACTCGAAATTTAAAAGATAACTAGCGAATCTAATTGGGTGGTAGGGATATATTTTCTCAATTAATTAGACAAAATTTGGGTTTAAGGTTCTTGGATGGAAATTTTATGTTAAAAAATCTACATACATCTGAATTTGACAATACATAAATATAGATTAACTGATAATACAAACAAATTAGACAATCACATCAAAATAAATTAATCGACAAAAAAGTATAGATAATATGGACATAGCTAGCGCATATTGTGTGTGTGTGTGTTTTTTTTTTTTTTTCAAGGTAACACACACATCTTATAATTAGTGTATCCCTTCATTAGCAAGGGAGGGTTTTTTTTTTTATATTATTTATAATTATCTTCTTATTAGAAGTAATTTAATTAAAATTTAAATTTTGATTTGTCATGCCTATCCTTTTTGCTCGATGCAATCCCTGTTGGCCAGTGAGAGAGGTGTTATTAGATTCATGATTATTTTTTTGGCCAATGATCCGTGATTAATTAATTCAATACGAACACGTTAATATACGGCGACAAATTTAGTGCGAGTGACGTGAGCAGTAACTTCGGAGATACACACGTCACGTTTGTGCTTATGGCCCTGGTTGAACATTTTAATTATTTAAACAATGGAAAAGCATATAGTACTATATAGAAAAATAATCCTAAAACATATTATAAGGCATTTGCTTCGCAAGAAAAAGCGTGTGAAAGTTTTTTTTTTTTTTAATCAATGGTCAGTTGTCATAATAGCAACTCTCAACATGGCTGGTATGTACGCCTTGACGCGTATGTCTCTCTTTCTTATAGGTGAGAGCTAGATTAAGGATAAAATTTTTTAAAAAATTATTTTTCTTTTGTTACACTATTTTGATTATAATTATCACGAATAATGCTATACCTGGATCTAATCAGTATAAGTTAAATTAGTGGCATGTCGGTGTGACTTTTAATTTTCCTTTTCCCCTATTAACTGACGCATTACTTCAAACGATATAATTTTTAATCTCTGATGATCACTTTTATGTATCTCTAAAAGAAGTATTCTCTTGTATCCAAAAAAAAAAAAAAAAAAACACACACACACACACACAAAAGTAATCTTGCAAACTAAGGGAAATTATTGAGTTTAATTTAAACAAAATCTTTCTTGTATATAAATTTCATTGAAGAAAAATACGTGTCAATAAAGGACTGAAATTATATAGGTATGGAAAGGGGAATGCTTTTCCTTGGGTCTTTCTTTCGATGAGCTGATCAATCATTTCAATTTCCTTTGTTTTACAAGTGCGTGGATCATCGAAACTTAAGCTAACTCACGAGGAGGAGGTCAAGTTGCTATCGTTAGTTTAACAATTTATAAAAGCAGAGCGAGAGTGAAAATCAAGGACACTAAAAGCAGTACTTTCGTCTCGTATTCTCAATCATGCATGCATTCAATTATTTCCGGGAATTAGTTATCCAGAAACTCAGACACGGCATTAAATTAGCACATATTGCTTTATGGGTGAGGTTTCTTTCACGTAAACTATCCTGACTTGTCGAGACACGTACATACAAAATAGACTTGTTTTTTTCATGCAGCTGAATAGATCAGGACAAAAATGTTTGAAAAGAAGCTCGACCCCTTTGATTTATGAGATTTCAAGAAGGAAAAAAACACCATTCGATATCCTTGAGTCTGGCGTCACGGTACTATAATGTCATGATATGTAGATATTAATATTTCGTATACTAAATCCAACGCAACGCATGTGAGATTTTTTCCACCCTCTTCAAGATACGAATTAAGTGAAGATCATTAGCCCGTCTCGCGCTGTCCTTGTATGAAAAGGTAACCATGAATTAAGGACAGCCCAATCAAGAATTGAAATAACGATTATGGACAACGACGCTACATGCAATAATAGCACAAGGAGGAGTGGGAATCACAGATTGTGCATGTACATACATATACAAATATAGCGTATGGATGAGGACGGGAAGGAGAATGGTGTATTTGATTAAGGAGGAATGAGGGAGGGAGCAAAGAAACGTGGGGGGAGGCAAGTTCCCAGAAATAAAGTTTGGTGCTTTTCGTGTTTGGATTCCATCGAGCAATTACCAGGTTGGTGGAATCCCACCCGTGTCTTTAACATATTGGAGAGAAGCACTTATATCTCCATTTCATAATTCTATATTCTCTATTAAGGATGTGGCCCAGATTTTATTCATTCTCTCATTCGTCATATATACTCATCTAATCTTGCAAGAATTCTTCAAAAACAAGGTACTCAAATATAATCTGCTGGGTTATTGCTTTAAGGGCTGCGTATTTTCCAAAGGGAATGGAACAAATGTATTCATATGTCAGCCCTGGAATTTATTCATTGTTTCGTGTGTGTGTGAGTATAAATATATATATATTCTTCCACCCAGCAAGGAATTCATACACGCGCGTACTGTTATCCAAGATGTGGCTCGTGAATCACATAGTCTCCAGTCCAATCACCCGTTGGCACTTTTGCAGAATTTGCCACCTTCCTTCTCAATATTCCCAATTCCTTCTTCATTAAACAACTTCTCTAATTTTATTTTTTCTGATGATTCTCCTGGATCCTAGTTATCAATTTAACTTAATTAGGGGACTTTCATTGTTCATTTAATCACGTAGATCTATTAATAATTAATTCTATTTCACTGCTACCAAAACAATACAGGTTATTCAAGGGAATAGCATCTCGATGCTCTCCTTCAATTATAATTATTCTGCTTCCTCCTATATGTTCCTAAAATATCTAGCTAGCCAGCTTCAACGGGGACAGTGTGGATATAACTTCAGTATGTGTTAAAAATCATTTAAATCCTCGTCACCGTATTCTGTATTGAAATTTAATCAATTATTTGACGGCACACGAGCGCCAGCTCCAACCAAATCACAATAATGTGGCTACCGTAAAGTGACGGTGACAGAATTAATCAAACAAAGCAGTAAATCTGGATATGTTGTCCAACTACATATATCCACAACACCACCGCTCATAATTGAAAATTATTCATTTAGTGGCCCCTTTTTTTGGATGGATTAATACATATTACAACAACGCTACCCTGACTGTTCACAGAGTAAAACCATCACGAAGCTGACTTTTACTGCACGATATATATACTTGAGCGCTTGATGGTAGGGATCTTATTATTTTCGCACATAATTTCACCTTGTTTTAAAATAGAATTGCGCAAATTAGCTTTAGATTATATACTTAAAAGTCGATCCAAATTCGAAGGAAATTATTTATTTATTTACGAAAATAGAAAGTTTTATAAATAATTTCTGCTAATAATGACTTTTTTAATTTCTTGGGGAAAAAATGATGACTTTAAAGTAAACACTTTTGCAAGACTTTAAGACCGCACGTTTGGATCAACTCGGCAACATGCAAGTGCGTGTGTCGGCTGTGCTATCCCATTATTCCCAAAGCCACTTTAATTTGCACTAGTTTATTCATTTTATTAGTAACAATTTAAAAAAAGCAAGCCACCAATCAACGGCAATTAACCACTTCCCCACACATCTAGGACTGC